TTTAAGAGACAAAGAAACTGAGTCATAAAGTTGTGAAGGATTATGCTTGAACACAAAAACCAAGAAGTAATGGTGCCGGGATTTGAACCCAGTCAGGCTGGCTCTAGATGAAAGACTAATTCACCATGACTAAATAAGGCTTATTTCAGGAATTCAAGGATCATTTAATATTAGGAATAGCTGGATGTTTCCTTAATATGATAAAATATATTTATCTCAATCCAAAGCCTGCGTTGTGCTTAATTGAGAATACCAGAAGCAATTTCATTAAAGTCAGGAACAAGAAAAAGATGTCCACTAATTAGCACTATTATTTAAAAATGTTCTGTAGGACGTAGGCGAAACAATTAGACAAGTGAAAGAAAGATACAGAAATTAGAAGAGAAAATTGTAATTTTCAGATGATACTGAGTTTTTTACTTAGAAACTAAAGACTAACCAGACCTTGCAAAATAAGAATAAATTAATTTTCAGAAATCAATAGCTTTTATAGATACAATGTCTAATGTCAAGCTCTAAGGGAAGAAAAGACCCATTTTATAACAGCACAAAACATAAATGATAACATAGGAATAAACACAAGACATACTATTTGTAGAAAAGGTTAAAATGCTAATGAGAGATGAAACAAGGCCCAAACAAATGGGAAGATATACCACGTTCTCGCATAGAAATACACAGCATCATAAAGATATAACTTCTCTCAATTTACAAATCTAATGTGATCTTCAATAAAAATATCAATAGAATTGAAAAAAATTACATAAATTGATTCTAAAGTTCATATTCAAAACCAATAGTGATAGAGGGAGACTACTAGATATTAAAATGTTTACATCTACAGCAATTAAAACAGTGGTAGTAATTTGTGAGTAGTCATACAGATGAGTGGAACAGAACAGTTCAGAAATAGATCTAAATACAAGAATTGAGAAGATGATAAAGGTGGCTTTTCAATCAGTGGAAAAAAGATTAGTCAGCAAATGGGGTGGGAACTACTAGGTAGGGCTCTGTTGAAAAAAATTAAGTTGGATCTATACTTCACCTCTTATACCAGGACAAATTACAGACAGTCTGAAGATTTAAACATTAAAAAAATACTTCTAAAAGTAGAAAAAAAAAGAGAAAAGTTATTTTATAACCTAAGAGTGGGGAAGGCCTTTCTAAGTATGACACAAAACCCAGAAGCCATAAAAGAAAAGACTGCTAGATTAGACTTCATAGACATAAAAAATTTCATTGTGACAGTAGCACCATAAGCAAATGCAAATGAGAACCTGGGCAAGAAATGTGTAACTCTGCCAAGATGAGGGACTAAGTTATCTAAAACAGAAAGAGTCCCTATCAATAAAAAAGAAAACAGAATAGCAATCCAATATAAAAATGGGCAAAGGAGATTAACAGAGACGTTTAATAGAAGAGAAAATACAAATGACTTTAAAGCATATGAAAATGCTTAATAATAGAAGCTTTTCACCTACCAAAAATACTAAAGTGTGTTAACACACTATAATGGCAAGTGTGTAGTTAGATTGTCTCATACATTGTATAAACTAGTGCAAACTATAAAGGGTTGACACTATCTTATTAAAATTACAAAGGTACATTACATTTTTAAACCCATCAATCCTAGGAATTTGCCCTACAGAGAGAATTGTATCTATACATGCAAAATAACGTGTGTCAACATAAAAATGTATAGAAAGATGAATCTCTAAGTAAAAAGGTTTTATTGGGGAATAATACACAAGATGTGGGATTGCAAACCAGGTCATACATACAGACCAAGGTGTCCTCCAGTATGTACAGAGGAAAGGAAAATGTTAGGGTTTTATTGGGGAAACAGGAGGTTATACAAGTTGTTTTGAAAGAAAGTCATTGGGGATAGTGTCTTTTGGGAGCTGGCAAGTGGTGATTTGTCAGTGGCCGCAGTTGTTGGCTGAAATTTGTAATCTTAAAATTATATTTTGTTCGATTGGCCTTGCATATGAGTCAGTGTGTTGGGCAAGTGTTCTTACAAAAGTGATTAGCTGTCCTGCTGTCTTTGTGTGACTTAAATGGTAAGCTTTGATTCGCTTCTGTTATCAGGCAAATCGTGCACAAAATCCCTCCTTTCATAGCCTTCCCTGGCTCCATTTTGTCAGGGTTTGACACAAGTGACTCCATTTTGCATGAGCAAAATTAACCATTAGAATTCACTAGAGGTTAGTCAGGTTCAGTCCTCACACAAGGAAGGCGATTACAAAAGGCTTTAATACCAAGAGGTTGGTCATTTGAGGTCATCTTAATGACCTCATTATTAGAGGTTAGAGGCTGCCTAACACATGGGTAAATATTTTAAAAACCTAACTATATCTGGCTTTCAAGAGGCATACTTTGAGTGTTAAGAGAAAGATTGAAAGTAAAAGGACGATAAAAACACACCAACCAAAAAAGGCTGATATAGCTATACAAATATCAGTTGAGATAAATGTAAGTCAAGAAGCATTACTAAGGACACAGAGGAACATTTCATAGAGATAAAAAGATAAATTTACCAGAAAGATGTAGTTTGTATTTTAATGCAACTAATAATATAGCTTCAAAATATAGAAAACAAAATTACAGACCTAGAAGTACCTGATAGTACAAGTAGTCATTAATAATATGGACGATTACAACAAAATGAATAATAAATTTACCCTAACTGATGTCTGTAGAATACTATAACCAGCAGTGTCAGAAGAGGTATTCTTTCCAAGTACCCACGGAATTTTTACCAAAATTTATCATATGCTGGTCTTTAAGTCCCAACGAATTCCAAAGGGTAAATCATCTAAAATATGTTCTCTGACCAAAGTAAAATTACTCTAAAAATCAATTTTTTAAAAACCCCAGAAAAGCCTGAAATATTTAGAAATTAAGCATTATACTTCTAAATAACTGACAGTTCAAAAATAAATTACAATAGATGTTAGACAGTATTTTGAACTAGGGCAATTTTTAAATGACATCAAAACTTGCATTAAAAAGTCTAAAGGCAGTCTCAAAAAGTATAAAAAGGATAGCAACAAACCCAGAGATTGGTTCTCTGAAAAGACTAATAATATTGATAAACCCCTAGCAAGACTGATCTAAAAAAAAAAAAAAGAAAATGAGAACATAAGTCCCAGGCTGGGATAAAATGTTTACAAAAGACACATCTGACAAAGGACTGTCATCCAAACTGTAAAAAGAACTCTTAAAACTCAACAATAAGAAAAAAAAAAAAAAAAAAAGCACTTAATTAAAAAGTGGACAAAAGATCTGAACAGATACCTCACCAAAGAAGATATACAGATGGAAAATAAGCATATGAAAAGATGCTCATCATATGTCATTAGGGAACTGCAGAATAAAATAATGAGATATCATGACATACCTATTACAATGGTGATTTTCCAAAACACTGACAACACTGAATGCTGGTGAGCACATGGAGCAACAGGAACGCTAATGGGAATTAGCTAATGGGTATGAAAAATGGCACAGCTTATGATGAAAGACAGTTTGGCAGTTTCTTGCAAAACTAAGCATACTCTTACCAGACAATCTAGCAACCATGCTTCCTGGTATTTATCCAAATGAGCTGAACACTTATGTCCACAGAAAGACTGCAGACAGATGTTTGTAGCAGACTTATTTGTAATTGCCCATGATGTCTTTCAGCAGGTAAATGGATAAACAATCTGGTACATACAGACAATGGAATATTATTTTTAACTCTGAAAAGAAATGATCTATCAAGCCATGAAAAGACATAGAGGAAATTTAAATGCATATTGCTAAGTGAAAGAAGCCAATCTGAAAAGGAGACATACAGTATGATTTCATCTATATGAAAAGGCAAAATTACAGGGACAGTAAAAAGATGAATTGTTGCCAAGGGTTAGAGGGGAAGGAGAGATGAATAAGCAGAGCACAGAAGATTTTTAGGGCAGTGAAAATACTTTGTATGATACTATAATAATGGCTAAATGCCATTATACATTTATCAAAACCCATAGAATGTACAACACTAATAGTGAACGTTAGTGTATCAACTATGGACTTTGGATGATAAAGATGTGTCACTGTGTTATGATAATGTATTGATTGTAACAAATGTATCACTCTGGTGAGGAAGGCTCTGCATGTGTGGGGGAAAAAGGTATATGGGAACTCTCTGTACCTTCTGCTCAATTTAGCTGTGAATCTAAAACTACTCTAAACTCTATTTTAAAAATAGAAAAAAGGCACAAATTACCAATATAAAACCCTAGAAAAAGCCCGAGGTTTTTAAAAACCCCAAATCTTCGTATTCTAAGAATATAATATGAAGAACTTTATGTCAGCAAATCAGAAAATCCACATGAAATGGAATTTCTAGGAAAATACAATTTACCAGCTCATGAGTAAATAGAAGGCTGGGCATGGTGGCTTATGCCTGTAATCCCAGCTCTTTGGGAAGCCAAAGTGGGGGGCTCATTTAAGTCCAGGAGTTCAAGACCAGCCTGGCCAACATGTGAAACCCCATCTCTACTAAAAATACAAATAATTAGCTGAGCGTGGTGGCGTGCACCTGTGATCCCAGCTACTCAGGAGGCTGAGGTGGGAGAATCACCTGAGCCCGGGAGGTCGAGGCTGCAATGAGCTGAGATGCTGCCACTGCACTCCAGCCTGGGCAACCAGAGTAAGACCCTGTAACAACAACAACAACAACAACAACAACAACAACAACCACCCAAAAGAATAAATAGAAAATTTGAATTGTCTATATCTATTTAAGAAGTTGAATCTGGGCTGGGCACAGTGGCCCACACTTGTAATCCCAGCACTTTGGGAGGCTGAGGCAGGTGGATCACTTAAGGTCAGGAGCTTGAGACCAGATACAAAAATTAGCTGGTCGTGGTGGCATGCTCCTGTAATCCTAGCTACTCAGGAGGCTGAGGCATGAGAATCGCTTGAACCTGGGAGGTGAAGATTGAAGTGAGCCGAGATCACACCACTGCACTCCAGCCTGGATGACAGAGTGAGACTGTGTTTCAGAAAAAAAAGAAAAAAAAAAAAAAGTTGAATCTGTAACTATAACTTTCCCATAAACAAATCCCCAGTCCAGATTTTTGCTTCACCAGCAAATTCTTTTAAACATTTAAAGAATTGACACTAGTCTTATACAAACTGTTTGAAATAATAGAAAAAGAAACATAATTCCCGATTCACTTTGAGGCTACCATAATTTTAATACCAAAGGGTGGCAGGTTCATTACAAGAAAGGAAAATTATAGGTCACTATATCAAATGAACATACTTATAAATATTTTAAAGAAAATATTAGAAAGTAAAGTTAAGTGAATTATTTATTTTAGAAATGCAAGATTTTGGCTTAACATCACAAAATCAGTGTTTTCAACCCATTCAACTGGATTTATTTTTGACAAACTACCTGGGACAACTGGATATCCACATGCAAAATAATGAAGTTGGATCTCTCTTTATACAATATGCATAATTAACTCAAAACATATCAAAGACCTACATGTAAGAGCTAAAACTAGAAAACATTGAGAAGAAAACAAACGCATAAATCTTCATGACCTTGGATGAGGTAATGGTTTATTAGATATGACACCACACACACAGGCAATTGAAAAAAAAATAGATAAGTAAGACTTTGTCAAAATTTAAAATTTTGTCCTTCAAAAAGACACTGTCAAGAAGATGAAACGATGACCACAGAATGGGAGAAAATATTTGCAAATCATATATCAGATAAGGGTCTGATATCCAGAATATATAAAGAACTCTTATGACTCAACAACCAAAAGGTAAACAATCCAATTTAAAAATGGGCAAAAAGACTTGAGTAAGCATTTCTCCAAAGAAGATGTATGCATGGCCAACAAGCACATGAAAAGATGCTCAATATCATTAGTCACTGAAGAAATACTAAAACTACAAGATGCCACTTTACGCCCACTCCTAGACAGTTAAAAACTTATGTACCCCCCAAAGCTTGTACACAAATGTTCATTATAGCTTTATTTACAATAGACTAAAAGTGAAAACCACCCAAGTACCTATCAACTGATGAATGGTAAACAAAATGTAGTGTATCTGTACAATAAAACATCATTCTGCCATGAAAAGTACTGAAGTACTGATTCATGTGGCAACATGGATTAACTTTGAGAATATTATGCTAGTTGAAAACCGCCAGACACAAAAGGCCATATTCCACTCACATGAAATGTTCAGAATAGGCAAATCCATAGAGATAGATATTGGAGACAGACAGTAGATTAGTAGCTGCCAAGGGGAAAAGGGAAATGGGGAAGGACTGCTAGTAGGTATGAGGTTTCTGGAGTGATGAAAATGTTCTGGAGTTATATGATGGTAATAGTTCACAACTTTGTGAATATACTAAAAACCACTGAATTGTACTCTTTAAAATTATGATTTTTAAGATATATGAATTATGTTTCCATTTAAATATTAGTGTATTTCACTATATTAGCATCATAAGGCAGAAAACATATCTCAATAGAATGATGCAGAAAAAGCATTTGATAAAATCAAATACATATTCATAGTTAACACTTAACACACTAGGACTGGAAGGAAACATCTTTAAATTGGTAAAGATCATCAGTAAAAATCTTACAGGAAATATCATAGTTAATAGTGAAATATTAAAAGCTTTCACCCTGAGATTAGGAATATTTCCGAATACTATTTCTATTAAACATTGTACTAGAGATCTTAACCATTGCAATAAGGCAAGGAAAAAAAGTTACAGACTGCAAAGCATATGATTGTTTATGTAGAACATTCAAAAGAATCTATGGTCAACAAATTTATTAGAAATAAGTAAATTTAGCAAGGCTACTGGGTTCAAGTTTACTATACAAGAATCAAGGATATTTTTATATATCTGCAATATTCAGTTCAAAAATGAAATTTAAAAATATTTACAATAGCATCAAAGACATAAACTGATAATAAATCTAATGAAAGAGAGAAAATAATCTTTATATGGAAAGCATTACAGAGGAAAAATAAATAAGATCTAAATAAATGGAGAGATCTGCTGTGTTCATGAATTGAAAGCCTCAGTATTGTAAAGATGTCAGTTATTTTCAGACTGGTCTACAGAGTTAATGCAATTCCAGTCCAAATCACAGCAGATTTCTTGGGGGAAATTAAGCTGATTCTGAAACATATGGAAACATTAGAGACCAAGAATAGAGAAGAGTGTTTAAAGAACACAGCTGGAAGACACACTGCTAGCTATCAAGACTTCTTGTAAAGTTACAGTAATTAATACCATGTGGTATTGGTGCAAGAATAAACAAATAAAACAGTGAAACAGAACAGAGTCTAGAAGCTGATCCAAACACGTAGTCACTTAACTAAGGACAAAGGTAATGATGTAGTGCAGCAAGGAATGGGTGAGCTGTTCGATATATGGTGCTGACTTAGTTGGATGTTCACAGGTAATATACATCTTGATCCCTGTTTTCACAGCTTGAAAAAAACCAAGTCCATATAGATTGCATCATAAAGATCAAAGTATAAAAAAGTAAAGATTATGGTTAAAAAAAGGAAAGTATCTTCATTTACTTGAAGTAGGTAAAGATTTAAAAAATAAAATACCAAAAGCACTATCTAGGAAGAGAAAGAAAATGATTACTATAATTATTGAATTATATTAAAGTTGAAATGTTCTATATATCAAAAGACCCCATTAGTAAAAAAGCAAGCCATAAAAAAGGAGATTATACCTGTAACACAAATATTTGACAAAGACTTGCATTCAGAATCTATTTTTAAAAGTACTACAAATCAATTAAAACAAACAGATGATCCAGTGAAATTATGGGCAAATGGCTTGAAGAAAACATCACAAAAGAGAATATCCGAATGGCCAATAGACACATCAAAAAGTGCTTAAATGTCATTAGTCATCCATGAAATGCAAATGAAAACTCAATGCGATATTACTACACATTCAACAGAAAGTCTAAATTTAAAAAGATAACGCCAACTACTAAGTAAGGATATGGAACAGTGAACACCCTCATAAACTACTGTCAGGGAGTAAATTTGTACAACCACTTTGGAAAGTTATTTGACAATGTTCATTAAAGCTGAATATACACAAACCCAATCTACCAGAAATTCCACTGTGAAGTACAAACCGCATAGAAATATACATATACATCCATATATGCATCAAAACATATGTACACAACAGTGCTACATATAACAGTGGAAACTGGAAATGATACCAGTACCCATCAATAGGGTAATGAATTCCTAAGTGGTGGTATATTCATAGAACAGAACACTGTACAGAAATGAGGATTAACAAACTGTATGCAGCAACATGTATGAATCTCGGAATTACAGTGTTGAGCAAAAGAAGTCAAAGATGAGAATGCATTATATGATTCCATTTATACAGGGTTGAGAAGATGCAAAACGGAACTTTGCTGTTACAAATCAGGATTGTGCTTGCTGTAGATGTGAGTAGTCACTGGAGGGAGAAGAAGGGCCTGTGGAAATTGTGGTCATGTTCTGTCTTTGTTTAGAGGATGTGTTCTTGCTGTATCCCGAGTCTATCATGAAAGAGTGAATGCATGGCCTGGTTTTGACAGCAAGCGTAACATCTAGCATATGAGGGAATACCAATCCCCTACAAACCTCAGAAATTAAAGTTCACTGAAGACTCGTGAATGAATTAATGATGCTATAAAAAGGGCTCATGGGTGTGGGTTCACCTCCTTCCACCATCTGCTGTGTGAGGATGCAGCAAGAAGGTTCTCATCAGATTCTGATGCCTTGATCTTGGACTTCCCAGCCCCCAGAACTGTGAAAAGTAAACTTCTCTTATTTGTAAATTATCCAGTCTCAGGTGTTCTGTTACAGCAGTACGAAATAAACTAAGACAGTTCTCTTTGTAAAAGAGAGTGTACATGGAGCTGTACACTTATGATTGTGCATTTTTCTCGAAGCGTATTTTATTCAATGAAACAAGGCAAATGAAAGCCCAAAAAAGTGTATGAGCATGGAAAGGTGTTTTTGAGTGTAAGCGGATATCTGAGAGCTGAGGGGAGGGCATGTGCAGTCCCAGCTCCCCTTTAAGCCCAGAGCCTCAGCAGGAAGTATTACACAGAGTCCTTCCCTCCTGGACTGTCCGCGAGCTCCAACCCTCCTGCAGTTTGGGGATCCTTGAGGGCCCATGGCATTTTCTTTTCAAATAGGCTATCAGGCCATGTATATTCTCCACATTGTTTGAAAAGAAACTTCCACAGCATCAGACACATTGGGATTCTGACCCTGAGTCTTTTGGCCAGTATCTGTTCTGATTAGGATACTCACCCTCCTATACCATATCACTGGTGTGGGACTAAGTGCTTGCCAGTGTTTGTTTCTCCCTCTTCTCCTAACCTCAAAAGACCTGAGCCCCTCACTGGCCAGTGTGGGGTGGAGGAAAGACCCCAGGCCGCAGGGAAATGAGACTAATGGTGTACCAGAGTCCAGGGGAGAGTGACTCAGGCAGGAATGACTGTGACCAGTCGATGGGGTAGAACCCAAAGTGTGAAGTTGATTCCCTGTGGAGAGACGAATCCAGGGATGTGCAGCAACACTGTGTAGGATGTTTGCAACCCACAGCTTCAGTGGCAGCATCCTTGCAGGTTATTTGTGAATTGCATAACCGAAATGAATCATGTTCCTGTGAAGACACATGCTTTTAGTTTAAGATATTAAACAGTAGCTCCTGTGAGTAACACAGATATAATCGTATACATTTACGAATGCATTGGATAAAGTAGTACTTACAAGAACTCCAGTAGAATTGATATCCACACTGCATCGGTATGTAAAACATGAGTTGCCCAATTCCCCCAACAGGCAGAAAACAGACTCCTTGGCTCAGCCCCATGAGTCTGTACCACAGGAACCCTACATAGAATCAGAGTTGGAAAAGCCTGTTGCAGTTCACCTGGTTCAGCCTTTCCCAGGCAGAGGGCTCAGTCCCTGATTCCTGTCCCCAGGGAGCAAGGAAAGCAGGGAAAACCACTATTCATTTCTCCCAGCGCAACTCCTACGTGAAAGGGAAAAAGCAGTGAACAACCTGGAGCTTTCCAGAAGCAACACTGCAAAATAAACTAAGCAGCACAAAATAAACTAACACAGTTTCTGGATCTGTGTGGCTACAGCGCTGATGAGGTTAAATGCTAACAAGATGCCTTGTCTGGAACCAAAGGGTGAGCATAGCTTTAAGTATCTGGATATTATTGTTTTGCATCCCCATTTAAAAGATAATAAAGTGGTGGTGTTTCCTCTTTACCCTGAAACCCCAGAAGGAACAAAAATTCCCCTTTCTGTTACATACAAGATTCATGAGAGTTCTGTTTTGAATGTTGGATTCTTTTGGGGGAGGGGGAACATAAATACTTGGTGTTTGATGTGTGTGTGTGTATGTGTGCGTGCGCACGTGTGTGTGGGCGTGTGTGTACACAAAGAAAGAGGTTGCTTTCTCCCTCTCACTTCCCTGCATTACAAGTCTTTGCCTCTTGCTCTGAACTTGTAACTTTCCGCATTGTGCCAGGGGGCAGGCAGTTTCTAGGTTGTCGGTTTTCCAAGGTCGTCCTTTGAGATTAGTGTTCTGTGGGTTGCATCTGTAATAAGTCAGACAAGGGTTTCTTCAGCTGACTTAGTAGACTCTTCCCTTCTGATCTGATGCTGCTGAGGAAGTCCCAGCACAGCTCGTAGACTGTTTTGTTGCTATACATTCCTAAAAGAAAACAAAAGCAGAGTTTAATCATTTTTGGTGCCCACTCCTCATCTGTCTCCTCCCTCTGTGTCCTTCGATGACTGTGAGAGGAGGTGACAGTGTCTGGTAGCGTTGGTGGGGAGAGAAACAGTGGCCTGTGGGTTGGAGCTCAGAGAAAGAGGTTATCCTAGGATGAAATATCAAACCATATCACATTGATTTTCCCTTTGGGGGGCCCGGATATCACATCCTTCCATTTCCCTCTAGTCCCTGCCCGCCATCGACAGGGAAGCATTAACAGGGAATAATCAATGACGCCTTGTCCTGAAAATAAAAGGCTTGTCATGTCTCTCCATTTGGTGGAATGGATGTGGGACCAGGGGTCATGTGGCCGCTTCCATCTGTCTCCTGACAGAGGCACTGACTCAGACGTGCTTTCCATCCACAGGGCTGCAGCCCACAGCCAGGTGACTGCAAACTCTCCGTGGGCATCAAGGAAAACAAGACTTTAATTTCTTTGAACCCCTGTGTCAGGAGCTTGGCTGATGATGAAATATGGCAGCTTAGGAGTGGTGTGAGTGAACTTTAATTTCTGAGTTTTGTAAAGGATTGATATTCCCTCTTATGCTAGATACTGCTCATGCTGTCGAACCAGGCCATGCATTCACTGTTTCATGATAGAATCAGAAATTCAGAATTGACAGGGACTTTGCTCTGCGGTCCAGCCCCATTCCCCATCTGATATATGAGTTCACTACAACTTTCCTGGTAAACCCAATGATTGTCTGAACATCACTGCTGCCTCCTATAATTGCTCATCTGTTTGTCAGAAAGCTCAACTCTTAGCAAGTGTTTTCTTATACTTTACCAAAATCTATTTTCTGGTGTTTTTCTCGCAGTAGTCCCTCCACATGTTAACACGGGCCCTGGAAACGGAGGTGCGTTCTCCCAAGAAGCTGCCCTCTATGGCCCTGCGTAAGTGTCAATAAGGTGGCTCGCTTGCCTTATTTCCAGCAATAACCCCGATTTTCTTTGGAGAATCTGCCTTCCTCCACTCTCATGTCATGAGGTTTAATGACATCTCTCTCCCTCCTTTCTCCAAGCTCGATAGGTAGGCACAATTTCTAAAGCTACGCAGTGGGACTCACTGTCCTGAACTTTCAATCTTGATTTGGTGGTAGAAGGACAGCCCCCCTGCCCTGAGACAACACTCAGAGGCATGTATTCCAGCAAGAGTGCCCTGACAAGACAGTTCTGGCCACCCTTGCCTGGACCCTCCACCTTCCCATCAGTGTTATGAATTCTCCAGTCTTTTCCCAGGTAAGTCCAGTTTCCCTTCAATGTATGAGAGTTATAGTCTATTGCCTATAGCAATATAACTCTCAATGTAAAACAAAGTGCAGGTTTCAACAGTAACCAGGCTCTGAGGCCGGCCCGCCTTGACTCACGTTAGCCTCACTGACACAGCTCTCCTGGTTTCCTGGTGGGCACCTCATGCTTCAACCATCCATTAAGGGACAGCCTAGCCTTGTGGCTGACACAAGGGGAGTAAGAAGACCTTTGCTGAAATACAGATGGACCACATCCAAGAGTCTAATGTGGCAAAGACAGAAATGATGTCAATTGGATGTAGCGTGTGTGTGTTGTAAATGAACCCATGCAGCATCACTGTGATCACCATTTTGTTTTCTAGATGCTCAGAGGTTATTTAGGATCTGAGATTCTTGCTTGGCAGTCATGAGTAGCTCCTGTATTTGCAGAATGAATTCTCGGTGGGACCTTTGGTGAGTCTAACTTGGGCCTCAACTTCCTCAACTGTAAAATGGATGGAATAATTTTATCGATCCCACTGATCATACCTGCAAGCCTCTGGGTGGGACCTTACCACTTGTGGTCACATTGATCCTCTATACTTTGGCCCAACTATACTTGTTTGTTGGGAAGAACAAACAAGAATTTGTGTAAAAATACCTAGTAAAATGCAGTGCTTTATGTCTAGGCTGTAGTTTGTTATAAGAGCACCAACCCTCATCTTCTAAAATCTTCTGTTCTCTTGGTTGCCTCCAAGATCACTGACAATTTACCAGTCCCATTTTCAAGGGTTATCAGCATCTGGAAAGCAATTCATCGAGGTAAGCAGCTTTAATTCATTAGCATGGCTAGAGAGCAGGAGCACTTTTTATCACCTCTCCTCTTGGAGCTTTAATTCCCTCACCAACATTTGTATTACCCATTTCATGGTAAAAGACTTTATTTGACAGAAACGACAAGTAAATTAAGGGTGGAGGGCTTCTGCCTTCTTTCTGATAATCACTACTGATCCTAAATAGTGGCCTGTGTTATCTTTTTTTATACTTGCCCTAAACTTAACTTTAAAAAGCAGGAGCCATTTGTGATGCCCTGGGCTCTTTTTGCAAGTCTCAACTCATTGCTGGCTTCGGACTTCTGACACTCTTTAACCAAAAGTCAGCTTATTTATTAATTCACATTCCACTCTGCCAATAACAGAAGCCCATGAGAATAAAGGCAATATTTAGGAAAGTGTTTTGGGCATGGTATCAACTCAAAACCCCCTTGCCTGATTCAAGGAATGAAGCCCTCACTGTTGGTACTGACCAGGGAGTGATTCAAAGGGTTTGCCAGGCTGAAGCCCCCCATTATCGACTCACATCATCCATCATCATGACCCTCTCTTTCCTAGAGCTGCCTGGCGCCCGGCTCAGGGCTTCATGTGACCTTCTGTGTAGGCCCTCGCTTTCTGTTTCTTCTTCCGACCCTTTATATTTGTCCTTCCCCCTTTTTAGTGGTGCCCATCAGAGTTCCTTCTGCAGCTGCCTAGATTTCTTTACATCCCATCTCCCTTTCTTTCCTTTTGGTGACATTTTTAGTGACAGAGTCAGATTTGAGGTTTTGAGGAGTTCCTAGTCATGAACCATCTTTCTTTATGCTATGGAATCGCCCCTAGTATGGCTAAAATTAGAAACTACAGACACACACACAGACACACAGACACACACAGACACACACACACACACACACACTCCTCTGGTTATCAAACTAAGCTACGTGTATCAGCATATTGTAGACCATTTGAAAAATATACAGAAGTAGAAAATGCAAAAATAAAATCATATGTATTACCACCCCGAAACAGATACTCATTTGCATTTTGTTATAATTTCTGTGGATGTTATTCTACATGTGTTTTGAATTCTACATGTATATAGTAATGATACTATGCCTCCAACATTTTGTGTTTGATGTGTTATGTAGCCATCCTCCCACATAAATATATATATAACAGGGTCTCACTTTGTCACCCAGGATAGAGTGCAGTGGGGCAAACACATCTCACTACAGCCTCCACCTCCCAGGTCAAGCAATCTTCCTGCTTCAGCCCCCCAAGTAGCTGGGACTATAGGCGTGCGCCACCACCCTAGGCTAATTTTTGTATTTTTTGTAGCAATGGGGTCTCATAATGTTGCCTAGGCTGGTCTCGAACTCTTGGCCTCAAGCGATCCTCCTTCCTCAGCCTCCCAAAATGCTGAGATTACAGGCATGAGCCACCGCACCAGGCTTTCATGTTAGTATATATTTTTATAAGTGCTATATTTAATGGCTGTATCAAACACACAGTGTTCCTTTTATTGAACATTGCAGTTGTTCCCAGGCCTTTTTTTTTTTTTTGAGACAGAGTCTTACTCTGCCACCCAGGCTGGAGTGCAATGGTGCGATCTCAGCTCACGGCAACCTCTGCCTCTCGGGTTCAAGCAATTCTCCTGCCTCAGCCTCATGAGTAGTTTGGATTACAGGTGCCCGCCACTGCCCCCGGCCCTTTTTTCTTTTATAAATAACTCTGCTCGAAGTTAGCGGGAGCACAGTGCACAAGACCACCCTCACTTCTGACACCAATTGCAAGTCCGGGGGTGTTCCAAAAACCATTGTGGGCTTTGATAATTCACTAGAAAGACTCACAGAACTCACTGATAGCTGTTGTACTCACAGTTATGGGTTATTACAGCTAAAGGGCACACATTAAAATCAGCCAAGGAAAGAGGTGCAATTGGCAGAGTCCAGGAAGGTTGCAGGCATGGAGTTTCCAGTTGTCCTTTACCCACGGAGTGCTGGGCAGTGTCATTTTCCAGCACTGATGTGTAACAATGCACACAGAATATTGGCAACCAGGGAAGCTCACTCGAGTCTTGGCATCCTGAGATTTTGTTGGGGCTCCACAGTTGACTGCCCGTGCAGCTGATCTTTAGTCTCCAGCCTCTCCAGAGGTAAAATGGATACTGCATGGCCCAATGTCCCCATCATAAATCACTGTGAAACTGTCCAGTGGCCAAGGCCCCAGGCAAACAAAGGCACTCTTATCAGGCAGGACATGCCAAGGGCCCAAAGCTCACCTTCCTGCAGCAGAGAACAAAGGCCAGACTGCTTTTTGGGTAAGGTGGATTCTTTACTACACAGCCTATGACAAATATCTTTGTGCAGAAGCATTTTCCATTTGGAGGGTTAATTTTTAGTGTATCATCGGAAGTGGAATTATTGGAGCAAAGGACATAAATATTTTAAAGATCGTTGATTCATATTGCCAAGATGCTTCCCAAGACTAGACCAATTTGTCTTCCATTCCTCTCCACTCCCACCCAGCAGGTATCAGAGCATCCGTTTTATCACTCCCTCACGTGCAATGGGCATTGCCATTTTTTAAAAAATTCTAGCAATTTGATAGATACAAAGGGGTGGTTTCAAATAATTTTCATTTGCATTTCTGATTACAAATGAGGGCAAATACTTGCCCATCTTTAAAGATTTTCTTGTGGAGAATCTTGAACACCCATAAAAGCTGATAGAATAGTTTGATGAATTCCCACATGCCCATCATCCCAGCTCCACAACCATCGATCAGCTCCTGGGAATTCTACCTCATCTGTAGCCCCACTTTCTTCTCCCACTGTCATAGTGTTTTTGAAGAAAATCTCCTGGACACATCATTTTATTTGTAGTATTTCAGTATGAATTTCTGAAAGATACGGACTCTTCATTAAACATTCACAAACACAATGATCATACTTTAAAAATTAATGATAAGTCCTTAATGTCATCATAGACCCAGTTAGTATTTAAATTTCCAATTGTTTCGTAAATAACAGGGTTTTTTTTTTTACATTAAAAACAATTAGGGTCCAGGCCAGGTGTTGTGGCTCATGTCTGTAATCCCACCACTTCGGGAGGCCAAGGCAGGAGGATCACTTGAGGACAGGAGTTTGAGACTAGTCTAGGTAACATAGCAAGACCTCCTCTCTACAAAAATAAGAAAAAGGAAAAGTTAGCCAGGCACAGTGGACACACCTGCGGTCCTAGGTACTTAGGAGGCTGAGGCAGGAGGATCACTTGAACCCAGGAATTTGAGGCTGCAATGAGCTCTGATTGTGCCACTGCACTCCAACCTGGGCAACAGAGCAAGAACCTGTCTCTAAAAAATAAAAAATAAATTAGGATCCCAATGAGGACCAGATATTGAGATTCATGGAGATTCATAGATATGTCTTTTAATGTAATAGATGTCCTTAATTCTTTAATCTATGGTTTCTTTCTCTGTCTCTTTCTCTCCAGCTGCTTTCGTGTAAGACATGGCTTAATGTTCACTGTTGTACCTCTGGTGCCTAAAACAGCAGGTGTGGCAGACAGATTTCAAGATGTCCCATGATTGCTGCCTCTTGGAGTCTACAGCTTTGTGTAATCCCCTTCCCTTGGCTGTGGCTTGCTTCTGGCCAATAGGATGTGGCAAAGGTGATGAGATGTCATGCCCATGGTTATGTTACAGAGGAGTCTGTCTTGTTATCACTCTCTCTTTCTCCCTCTCCCTGTTGCTGGCTTTGAAGGAACAAGCTTCCATGAAATAAATGACCATGTTGGAGAAGCCCATGTGACAAGGAACTGTCAGCAGTCTCTAAGAGCTGAGGGTAGACTTCAGCAAGAAACTGAAACCCTCAGTCTGACGGCCACAAGGAAATAAATTCTGCCAACAACCTGAAGAAGCTTGGAGCAGATCTTTCATCAGTTGAGCCTCTGATGAGATTGCAGCCCCAGCTGTCACCTGGATAGCAGCTGGTAAAACCCTTCAGCAGAGAAGCCAGCCAAGCTGTGTGTAAACTTCTGACCTGCAGAAACTATAGATAATGAGTGTGTGTTATTTAGAACTGCTAAGTTTGTGGTGGGTAGTTAAGCAGCACAGAAAATGAATAAAGTAGGCAGGAAGTGATGGCTCATGCCTGTAATCCCAGCACTTTGGGAGGCCGAGGCTGGCAGATCACCTGAGGTCGGGAGTTCGAGACCAGCCTGGCCAACATGGAGAAACTGCGTCTCTACTGAAAATACAAAATTAGCAGGGTGTGGTGGTGCATGCCTGTAATCCCAGCTACTTGGGAGGCTGAGGCAGGAGAAATGCTTGAACCCCGGGAGGTGGAAGTTACGGTGAGCCAAGATCGCACCATTGCACTCCAGCCTGGGCAACGAGAGTGAAACTCCATCTCAAAAAAGAAAAAAAAAAAGAAAAAGAAAAGAAAAAAAAAAATGAATACAGTAGACATTCACTAAACTATATTGAATTGAATGACTGATATGGTTTGGCTGTGTCCCTACCCAAATCTCACCTTGAATTGTAATAATTTCCATGTGTTAAGGGTGGGGCCAGGTGGAGATAATTGAATCATGGGGACGGTTTTCCCCATACTATTTTTGTGGTAGACTTAACTCGAATAAGTCTCATGAGATCTGATGGTTTTACAAATGGGAGTTCACCTGGACAAGTTCTCTTGCCTGCTGCCATGTAAGACATGCCTTTGCTTCTCCTTTGCTTTCTGCCATGATTGTGAGTCTTCCCCAGCCATGTGGAACTGTGAATCCATTAAATCTCTTTTTCTTTATAATTACCCAGTCTTGGGTATGTTTTTATTAACAGTGTAAAAATGGACTAATATAACGACCAAACGTGAAGGCTAGTTAAGACCGGATCAGACACTGTGCTTTTAGCTGAATGAGTCCTCTGGTCATTGACCAGATGGTTGAACTTCACTATCCTTTGCTTCTGAGGTGGTTTTGTGACCCACGTCAGCACTAGTTGAGGTGGTCAGGCCCTCCTTCCAGCCAGGCTGATTGTGGCATTCTCTGACAATTACTTCACCTCCTCTCACCTTCCCCCATGATCTCCTTGCAGCCTGCCCACACTAGCCTTAGGGTGATTTTCTGGAGAGGCAAGCGTCTTCATGTGAGACCCGCCAAAGGGTGTATACCTTCTCAACAGACCCTGCAGTTTCTTCTCCAATGTGGACAACGCTGAGTATATGATCTTTGGGTGTCTGTCTGCACTTTCTTTGCCCTGTGAATATTTCTGTTTATGGTGTAATTTACTTTCTCCTCTCCACATAGCTTCTCCAGTCTGATTTCTGAATGGTTGTAAATTGCTCCCAACAAAAAGCTTTAGAACATAAGCATTCAGCCTTGAGCTGAGCCTATGTGGTCACTGTGCAGATCCGTCCACCCTGGGACCCTCCCTTGTGCCCCCCGCCCCATGCAGGGACAGTTTTCCCTTTTTGTCTCCATGGCCCATGGCTCTGTTCTCTCTCTCTAGTGTTCTCTCTGTCACCTCTCCTTTCCTAGCCTGGGTGTTTGAAAACAATCATTGTCAGAATATGACATTTAATCTGTTTTCATTTTTTATTCTAAAAAGAGGAAGCGAAGACTAGCAGTAAGATGCAGATGACTAATAAAAGAATTCCTCACAGCTGTTCAGGGATATATATTCTTTCTGCAGCGGAGCAAGACAGATTCCCATCACAGCTTGGGGACTTGTTCCTTGAAGCCCCTCATCTGTCATGCTCCGGGGATGAAGGGGGCAGTGGAGAAATGTCATTATGGATGTAACTGGACTCAGAAGTGACTGGTCAAGGTTGGCACAGCAGTCCTGATGGAGCTGCTTATGGAAGTTTTCCTGGGAGGCACTGCTGGCTGGTGGAAAGGGCAGCTCCAAACAGCCCGTGCTTGTGGTTGATTCCCAGGTTCTGTCCAACCAGACCACCTTAGAGCTGAAATAAGTCCCTCCAACATAGCTATCCAAGGAAAATACCCTTCTACCCATTCCAAACCAGATAGGAAATCAAACCAAGTATTTTCTCAGATTTTGCACCAGACCTGAACAGGTGCTCTAATCATCTGCTCTAATGCCACTGGCCCATCTCCCTGGGAACTCTGAGCAGAGTGGAACCAGGGTGGTCTGGATCTGTACCTGGTGCATTACACCAACAGGGAGGAATGCTTGGATCTGCAGTGCCTGCATCAGGCTGACCAATCCTGTATGGATATTGACTTAGTCTCAAAGGGAGAAGGCTAAGGAAGACAGAGATCAGCCGATCTATAAGATACAGATTCTACTGGGTGCTGTGGCTCACGTCTGTAATCCTAGTACTTTGGGAGGCCGAGGTAGGTAGATCACCTGAGGTCAGGAGTTTGAGACCAGCCTGGCCAATGTGGTGAAATCCTGTCTTTACTAAAAATACAAAAATTAGCCAGCTGTGGTGGTGGGCACCTGTAATCCCAGTTACTCGGGAGGCTGAAGCAGGGGAATCTCTTGAACCCGAGAGGTGGAGATTGCAGTGAGCTGAGATTGTACTGCTGCACTCCAACCTGGGCGACAGAGCGAAACTCCGTCTTGAAAAAAAATAGAAAAAAGACACAAATTCCTTCTCCATACTCCCTTTTCCTAACCCCAGGAAACAACTTGAGCAAAGAGCTTTTCAGCCACTAATAGTTGTCCTTCCCCTTTCTGCTCCTGCCTTCAGGCTCGCCCATCCACCTTCCACCAGAGGCAAAGAAGCTGCCTCGCGCCCACTGCCCACAGCATCGGCCAGCCCCCTTGGGCTTCTCCACCTAACTGGACCCATGGCTGTCATGCCTTGACTGCCCTTCCTCCCAGGTTTCGAGTTTGCTTGGGGAGAGAGCCTTTCTCTTTTCTCCCCCACTTTTAAATGTATTTCCTTATTGTCAGCCTCATTCCTAAAAGGATTTGAAATATCTGACAAAAACAAAAACAGTGCAGCAAAGGAGGACACCCAGGCAGGGGAAATAAAGGCAGGAAACATGAGGCAAAGCCACGTGAGGCTCTCATACCAAAGGCTGATTGATGTTCACTTGCTAATTTGAGTCTGCGTTTTCTGGAAGAAGGAAACATAATCAACAATTCCCTTCACAGTGTCCACGAGATAAAAGCAAACGAGCTGTTTGGGAGAAAGTTCTGAAGTGCCAGATGCATCTCTAGTGGGATGTTTATCCTTTTAAGGATGTGAGCAACACCCTCAGTCATGAAGAGTTTCATGAGCCATACAATTATTAAAAATTTTTAACTTTCTTATTAAGATTCCTGTGAAGATCACTGGCATTTGAATTCTGATTGTCTTTAGAAAGACTGTGTGTCTCATGAAATCGTGTTTGAAAATACACTGTATTTTATCATTTTTCTTCCTCCTCCTTCTCCTATTTCTCTACTCTGTCTCTCCCCTTTCCCATTCTCTTCCTTACCCTTCTTTCTTTTTTTCTGAGACAGGGACTCACTGTGTCACCCAGGCTGGAATGCAGTGGTGCTCACTGCAGCCTCTACCTCCCAGGTTCAAGTGATCCATCTCAGCCTCCCAAGTAGCTGGGACTATAGGAGTGTGCCACCATGCCCGGCTAATTTTTGTATTTTTTGTACAGATGGGGTTTCACCATGTTGCCCAGGCTGGTCTCGAACTCATGGGCTCAACAGATCTGCCTGCCTTGGCCTCCCAAAGAGCTGGGATTACAGGCATGAGCCACTGTGCCCAGCCCTTACCCTTCTTGAAAGGACACTAGACATTTTCCACTCTCAGGGGTCAGGGGGTTTGGGCTTTGGTACTTAACCTATGAATGGTTGTCTATGCCATTCATTGTGCTATGTGTGTCCTGTGTCCTGATCTCTCTGTGCAGTTTCTGTGCTGGTGTGTTTATGCATGAACAATAATAAGTGAAAGTATCCAGCCCAGCTACTTCACTGAGTCATTATTAAATTACATGCAATGAGCTGTGTGTAGGACTTTTTTTTTTGAAGCAGTGTTTCTCAAACTCAAGCATATTTTAGAAAAGTTTGTTAAAACACAGATTGCTGGGCCTCACCCTGGAGCTGCTGATTTCGTAGTTCCAGGTGGGACTGAGAATTTACATTTCTAACAGGGTTCTAGGTGGTGCTGTCGCTGTTGGTCTCGGTATCATTGAGAACCACTGTTCTAAAGAAACTTCCTTTCCTTTCCCTTAAACCATCCTAGGTTGGACAACCAGTTGTAGTCCATTTGGGAGTTCCCATCTCATTAAAAACTGAGAACATCCTGAGCCAGGCAAAGATGCTCTTTGTACTTTTAGTTTCATTCTGAACCCAAGCCAGAAATCTACCTAAGCAACTCACATGGGAGTCAAGAGGAAGCAAATATTTAGACTTTACGAGCATGTGCATTCTATACTGACCAGTGTTGAATTTTTCCATGATTTTCATTTGGGCAAAATACTTTGTGTGACAGTCAACCAGGTGGTACCTCTCAGATGCCTGATAATGTTCTGAAAATTAGAGAGATAAACATTATCCTTGTGTGACAAATACAGGTATGTCAGTACAGGCTGGCTGAAGATCTGATTTGCTGGGCGAAAGCTCCTTTCCCAACTCTTTCACCTTGAAACTAAAAGTTCTTGCTAGTGAGCGTCCATTTTGGCCAGAGTGTGGCTACATCACCAACCCAAAAGTGTTTAGGGAGGACAGGGAACAAGATCTCATAGCTGCGTAATACCAGGCATTCCCAGAAGTGTTTTGCCACCTTTGCTGGTATGTCTTCTGTGGCTCTACACGTGCCAGGTAAGTTGAGAGCAGAAAATCAGTATCCACCTGTTGTGGTTTTAAAATATGTTCACATAAAAAGTTGAAAGCATTCCCCCTGAGAACTGGAACAAGAGAAGGAGGCCCGCTTTCTATTCAACATAGTGCTGGAAGTCCTAGCCAGAGCAATCAGACAAGAGAAAGAAATAAAGGGCATCCAAATTGGAACACAGGAAGTCAAACTGTTGCTGTCCGCCAATGATACGATCATATACCTAAAAAACCCTAAAGACTCATCCAAAAAGCTCTTAGATCTGATAAATGAATTCAGTAAAGTCTCAGGATACAAAATCAATGTATACAAATCAGTAGCACTGCTATACACCAACAATGACGAAGCTGAGAACCAAGTTAAGAACGCAATCTCT